ATGCAGTCGTTTTTATTTCATAGTAATCAATTTTAGGTGTTCCAAACAAGTAAAAAAATTATTGCCAAAATAATATACAAAGTGACGTGGTAAGAAGGAAGCCTCTTTGTGGTGTGTCACACGTCAAGTACTGGGAATTCCAGAGAACTACGAGGAAAGAAACGGCACCAGCGAAGTCCTGTATCGGTGCTCACTTTCTCTGGCAAGAAGATGGGATCCTGGGTTCAACAGCAGGATTAACAGTGAGGACTACAGGAGGTTCATGGAGGACTACAGGAGGTTCAGGGAGGACTGGGTGCGGGAACTGCAGAGAGTGAGGTTGGGGATACATCATGCAGACTGAAGTGCATCCCAAAACCCACGCTGGGCTTCACAGAAGGCTGGAGGTCAGTAGGCAACTTGAAAGAGTTGTGATGTGGGAGGCCCTTCTGTATATGTGTTGCTTTTATTGGTTGATGAATAAATTTGTTTTGGCCAATGGCTTAGCAGAGTAAAGCTAGGCAGAAAGTTCAAAGATACAGAGAGAGAATAGGCAGAGTGGAGTAGATGCCATGTAGCCGCAGAAGGAGTAACATGCTGCACCCACGAGCCACAGCCTTGTGGCAATACACAGACTAATAGAAATGGGTTAACTTAATCGTTAGAGCTAGCCAGTAAGAAACCTAAGACACTGGCTGCACAACTGTAACTGACAATAAGCCTCACTGTGGTATTCGTAAGTGGGTGTGGGAACTGGCAAGTGGGACCCGGTGGCGGGAGAGAAACTGGTCCAGTGCCACCAGGCAGGACAGAGAAAAGTCTTCCATCCACAGAATTGGTTCTCTCTCTCCACCATGTGATTGTCAGGGAGGTCCTCAGCCTTGGTGGCAAGAGTCTTTACCCACTGAGCCATCTTGCTGACCCTATGGTATATTATAAACTCTTCTCATCAACTATAAATTTTACAATTGTTCGTATCAAAAATTATGGAAGAGGACTATAAAAAACAAGGGTTTCTCGAAAGAACATATCAGCCATACAACAAAACAGAGTTCCTAAAACTGTTCTGCAGTGAAATGATATTACTGTCAAGCAAGCACCAGGAGTGTGCTCTAGGAGCTGCCTTGTGTGGAACAAGAGAGAGATGTTCACATCCTCTCTGACCATCATGCATACCCGTTATTTTAGAGAGACATTTAAGGGAGCAAGACCAGCGACTCAAGCCTGTAGTGCCAACACTTGCGAGCCTAGGGTAGGGGAATCATAAGTTCAAGGCCAGCCTGAATGGGCCTCAAAGAGATCCCTGCCTCACATGAGAATGTCTGGAGCGGGAAGGAGGCATATTACTGGCAGAGCAAAGGCAGCAGAATCTAGGCTGGAGCCCTGACAAGTACAGAGGAAGAAAGACCTGGGCAAAGCCAAGCCAGGTGGACTAGAAGACAATCAGCTAAGCTGGAGCCAGAGGAAGCGGGGAAGCAGACAAGGACGCCATGCCTCGCACAGGACTGAATCATTCCCATGGGTTTAGAGTTAAAGGTGTCATTAGGAAGCTTAGCAAGAGGGGAGGGGTGGAGCAGACGTGATGGAAAGGAGATGGGAAGTGAAGAGTGGGGCGGGTAGTGGTGCACACCACAGTGATTCTCACGCCATCCAGAAAAAAAAGAAGTCAAAAGGCTCTGGATTTGACCTTGTTGGTTCAAATCCCAGCTCTGTTACTGATGAGCAGTGTGAACTTGAGCAAGCTTTCAAATTCTTCAAGTTCCTAGTCATTCACCTAACTGTGTGTGTGTGTGTGTGTGTGTGTGTGTGTGTGTGTATGTGTGTGTGTGTGTGTGTGTGTGTGTGTAACAGGTATCTGTACTGAAAGAATGGAATAAAAAACTGATGTTTTTTAATCCTTAACTTAGCCACCTACAAAATATTAGAAGGCAGAGGACACCCAGAGCCTCAGGACTTGAAAGAGCCTGATGCAGAGTGATAGAGTTTAACCCTTTATAAAGCAGTGCTGTTCCCACTACGAGGCAGGCTGAGGCAGGAGGATCAATGAGCCCTGGAACTTGAGGCCAGAGCAACACTGGAATAATGGCCTCGGGGATTTCTTAGCTGCTCCACTCTGATATGTGCTTACTATTAATTTCTCCTCAGAAGCAACAGGCCAATTTTAAAGCTTTTTCTCTACGTCTAACAACATAATCAAACCCCCTACTGTGCGTGCGTGCGTGAGTGCGTGCGTATGTGTGTGTGTGTGTGTGTGTATGTATGTGTGTGTTTAGCTGATTCATCAATTCAGTATTGCTGGTAACTTTCCTTTGCTCATGTATGACACAGAAGACATGATAATCATATCAAACAGTAAGCAACCATGTTGACCGTCCCTGGACTGACATTCTGTAGAATTATCCAAAGGTTATTACAATGGCCAAAGTTAAAAACAATGATCTACTGTGGGACAATGGTCTTGCACCCTGTAAAGATTTGTCAGTTGTACTGGTTTAATAAAATGCTGATTGGCCAGTAGCCAGGCAGGAAGTATAGGTGGGATGACCACAATAGGAAAATTCTGGGAAGAGGAATGGTCCAGTCTGCAGTCATCATGCAGATGCAGAAGAAGCAAGGTGAGAATGTCTCACTGATAAATGTACCTAGCCACTTGTCCGTGGGTAACACAGACAAGAATTATGGGTTAAGATGTAAGGGTTAGTTAATAAGAAGCTGGACTAGTAGAACAACCAGTTTATAATTAATGTAAGCCTCTGTGTATTTCCTTGGGACTGAATGGCTGTGGAACCAGGTGGGACAGAAACCTCTGTGAACAAAGATCTCTAGGTTAGAGTCTCCCTCTCCTGATGGAGACGGATGTTGGCGCTCATGTCATTACCAGGCACTCTTAGTCACTGTGACTCTTGTTTGAACAACTACCCAGAACTTAAAAATTAACTATGCATTTTGATTGTACAAGTAAAATAACCTCAAGAAATCTGAAATTACTTAAAAGTTTAGATCTCCACGTGAACAACACTGTGACGTAGTTACAAGTCTTTGAGTTCTCTTGGAGATAAGCCTTGTTAAACAATAGGCCTGAATGTGTGGGAAATAACACAACACTTAATAAGCACAAGCCTAGCTATGCTCCACTGACTAGCTGGGAACAGTAATTTCCGTCAGCCCTACCATCAGGTTAGCTCTCTATGGCTGAAATGGATTTCCTGAGTATTGGCCACCACATTCTGACACAGGAAGTTCTTTGCATCTCTGGGTCCCAACACAGTTGAGTCCCTGTCCAGGGACACTGAGACAAGTCATCTGAACAAGTAAGAAGCTTACAGATTTTATTCTGGCCTAAAATAAGGAAAAATACTGGTGGACAATTAGAAACAATAAAATGAAATAAAAGAAAAAAAGAAAGACCAGATATGACACACTGCTGCGGACCAGGAGGAGGCTGTGTGTGCCGACACAGTCCTAGTGTAGCACCTACACGAGAAGAGCGTTTTAATTATTTTCCTCAGCAATTTTTATAGGAAGGCATGCCTGTTGTGACCAATGCCAAATACCCAAATTTTCTAAGAAATAAGATAAATTTTCAAGCTGAAGCACCTTTGCTGAGCTCCAGAAAATAAACCTGTAAAACAAAATTCTTCAAAAATCTCATTTTTAAAATTTCTATAGATCTGCAAAAGTAAAAAAAGGACTCTAAAAGACTCTGAAGACCTGGTCCAGCTCACTGGGAAAAGGCTCTGTAAGTGGATTAGGGCTGCAAAAGCAATGTGAGCACTCTCTCTGCACACAAGCCACACCTAGCCAGCAGGGTATCAGAGATGTGGACTTCCCTCAGCTCTCATCTTTCTACTGAGTAAATAAATACAGTGGATTCAGGAGATAAGTTCACAGGTTTATTAAGTCTGCAGTGAATATTCTGAATGCATGCTGGGAATTAAAGACAAAACCAAAGATTTAGAAGATGATGAACATGCGTTTAATCCTGTAAATACTGAGTTGGCTCTATTCAGAATTATGATATTTAATAACTTCTGACATGAAACATCAAAACACATTAAGCTTTTAACAGATAAATTTAGAGCATTTATGTATCAATTTATAATTTCTTTTTAATTGTGATGTATAATCTTGGTGAGTTTATAGGCTCAGAACAGTTCTGATGGGGTGGTCATCTCACCTCATTAGCATAATTAAAGCCTGGGCGTACACTGAATGGAGACAGAGAAAACTGGAAAAACAAATGGGAGCAACTTGTGATTTGATAGTGAGGACACAGAACAGGGTGGAGTCCGATGAGAGGAGCCACACTGCTCTCGGGCTCCCGCCGACCTCACTTTGCAATGGCACCTACTCTACTCTACCGCAGACTCCTGCTGCAGAAGGAGCTGGGCCACGCTTGTGTGTGGCTCCTATTTACTTCCATGAGGTAAAGACAACTTTCCAGGTTGTCCTAAGCCTCGCTTCTCCTTGCTGCTCCTACTGGTCTGCACACAACCCAGGCTTCAGAACTCAGCTCAGGCCCTACCTCCTACAGAGACCCCCTTCGCTCCTGCACACTCTCTCCTCCCCAAACATGGGTGCAGCGGGTATCCTGCACGGACTGAAACCCACTCTGCCATGACTGTTTACAGGCCTTTGCGAACAGTGGGCTCCTTCTTGAAGAGGCAATGATGAGACCAGTGGGGATGGGTATCAAGCAGGGACTATCAGTCCAAGGCAGCATTGTTTAACAGTGGTCACATTCATTTAGTTCCCAAATGGGGGTCAACAATGACATAGCATGTCAGAAAACCTTGCTCCAGGACTAAAGCAAATTTAGGAGCCAATCACTTTACCCCAAACTCTGGATTCTCTGTAGTTCCTTACAGTAGAAGTCTAATCTTAACCACAGCCTACGTGATGCCCACATGTGCTCAGGTTAGTCCACTGGTGTTTGATTGGAACAGCAAAGCCTTACTGTGAAGCCTAGGGAATGGGGGTGGGGGTGGGGAAACCATGATAAACCACACCAGGCCACACACCTTGAGTCCAAAGGCTGCATCCTCCGAGGCCAATACTTCAACCTGCAATCATAAGGAGAGACATAATTTAGGCACTATCAAGAACCCCTCTTGGGTGCAGCCCTAGAAGCCGGCTCTGGGAAGAAGCTCAGAAGGGATCCTGTTCACAGGGCCAGGGGGCTTCACTGAGAGGGAGGGCCCACCTGCCCCATGCCTGCAGCAGCGCTCACACCACAGCCGCTGCTGCGCTTTGGGCTTTGTTTTGGCTTGTCACTGATGGACAGGAGATGAGGGAAGTCATGCTCAGATAAGCAGTCACTATGCTGGTTGCCTCCTTGCCCCGGCTGCGAGTAGCTTCTTGTCCTGCTCACACAGGAATGGGCAGAGCAAATCTCTGGAATGCTGCAGAGCAAGAGTTCCTAAAAGCAGTGTGCTCTGGGAAAGGCAGGTAGAGTCTAGGCAGCAACTTATAAAATGATGGCAAAACTTCAAAACTGGCTGTCAGTCTTCTGCAGCAGACGACGGAGCTCATTAACATGAATTTAAAAGCTGCATGGAACGAGACATGTATTGATAATTACTGTTTTTTAAACATTATTATTCAGTCTGGTGTATTAAGTTTGGCTACTACAAAGAACCAATGTGGAGGAAGGAACAAGGAAAGAAGTTGACAGATAGTCTGAGTGTTGGGCACCTACTGAGGCTCCGGGGGAGGGGCTGGTAAGGACAGGGACACCAAGGAAGACTACCCTGCAGACTGACATCCAGCATCCAGCATGAAACCGAAAGGGTTAAAGAGAAAGCACTGATGAAGATCAGGGCCCTGCCTCCAGCAGAGATGGAAGGCTCGATGCAGGGCTGGGATGAGAACCTCCCTCCCCCAGCAGACTGGATGCAGGGCTGGGATGAGAACCTCCCTCCCCCAGCAGACTGGATGCAGGGCTGGGATGAGAACCTCCCTCCCTCAGCAGACTGGATGCAGAGCTGGGATGAGCAGCTACACTGTGATGAAAAACATATGTTGCTGATATCAAATATGATTTTAGGCTAAAGACTGAGGTGTTGGATCAACTAGAGTAGAAAATCATGGTAAGGTCTACTTACACCATTTCTGTTTACACTCGTTTCCAAAGCTAACTGTAGATTTAGAAAGAAGCCTTAGTGTAGACTTTAGCTTAGGATCTCCCCACCCACCCACAAAAAAGAAGTTTGTATCTTTGAATTTCCTGAGTCCTGCCTTCTACAACAACAGGCTACTGACCTCAAATATTTTTAAAATTACAACTCCTACTTAACACTGCAGACTTCAGCTATAAACCTTAGCGAGAAAACACAGCCAAACCCAACTACCACGGCCTTCTGTGACAAGCGCTTGTGAGGTGTACCTAGAGGGCCTATCTGCTGTCCTCATCACTCAGTGAGGACATGCAGCCTGATGTGGGTTATCTTCACACACACACAATTACTGCTGAGCATATTAAGGTTGGGATTGGTATCTACAGCATGAGCTCTGCATATTTTAACAGATTTTAAAAGTCAAGTAGCAAAAAAAAAAATCAGTAGCAAATAGAAATCTATTTAAAGCTAAGGCTTTACTATATTTGACAACGGGAGGTGAGAGCAGAGCTTTCTGTGGGGCCCAGAGCTCGGCATGTGACTGAGCACAGGCTGGCTCCAGCCGCCGCCCCGCTTCTCTCTCCAGCATGCTGAAGGGCGTTTCAAACCTCTTATTAGACTTTTAAACGCCTTTCACTTAGGGAACTCCACAAACTGCTTTCTTCCCATACCATGATTTTAAAATATGTATCCTGGCTTACTGTCCTAAAACTCCCTGTTCTGTAAGGTGCTAGGGGTAACAAACAGAACGGCCGACTGGAAAACCACGAGATTGCTAAGTTTACTAAGGAGGAAACAGCAGTGTGTAGGCTCTCACGCTGGTCACAGAGCGCCTGTCTGCTGGAAGAAGCCCCTCTAGTGGGAGCAGCGGAGTATTTCAAGCTCACACCATTTCAGGTCAGCAAAGTCCGGGAACCAGCCAAGCTCTGTGCTACTTCTGCCGTGAATTCGAAAATAATAGAGAAAAGCTGATAACCATTTTGTCTCTCATTATCCAGAAATTAGAAATTATCTACATACAAGCCGAAGTACCTTTGTATTGATCTATAGTCCTCTGGTATCCTATTTAACTGGGCTATGAAGCAATCCCCAACTCTTAAATTAAAGCAAAAATGTGTAACTTGAAAAATAAAGTATGCTTTCAGTAGAAAGACCTGACCAAACTGGAAAGGTGTGCATTGATATCTAAATATTGATTCTTCCTACCGGCTCTACTCTGCACTAAAACCCTCAAAAGACACACACTCCCACAGTCATCAGAAAAGCCTTCCGGGCATTTAATCCATGCAAAACTTGCGCTTAGTATCTCAAGACAAAGTGGAGAGCTTCATGCAAACGACCAAGCGAAATGTATTTGAGCATCCTTATACATTTGTTTTAAAACTTCAGAATCAAAGAGGACAAACTGAGATTACCTTTGCTACCATTCTTTTTCTGAGTTCAGTTTGCAGAGAGTTAAATTAGTGGCATTTAAGTCACCAATAAGAATGCCACACAGGCTTTACTAAGGGAGATTAGGGTTCAGTGGCCAATGTCCTTTTCCACAGAGGAATGAAGTCGACCTTCAGTGAGGCAGAGAGAGGCTTCAGACAACAAAATGGCTGGAGACACAGCTCAAGGGTTAACACAAGCTGGGTTCAATCCTCAGCACCCACATGGAGGCCCACAACTGTCTGCAATTCCAGTTTTCAAGGAAATCTGACCCCCTCTGAAGGCACCGGCATGTACATGATACACAGTGAAAATGCAGGCAGAAGATCCATGCACATTACTAGCGAGGGAGGGAGGGAGGGAGGGAAGAAGGGAGGAAGGGAAAGAAGGAGAGAAGGGGGGATGATAACAAAACCTAAGCTCCCAGGCTGCAAAGTTGAGGCCCTGTCACACCGGTTTCAAATGAGCACAGTCAACACTGGCTGACACAAGTGCCTACAGAGATTCCATCTAGAGAACTTCAAAGCACAGCCAAGTCAGCATTTAGTAGCCAAGCCCTTGACCGTGACCCTCTCCGTTGCTCTCCTAGTCACCCCGACCAAAGCCACGCAACTGCACGTGACTATCTGCCCAGGACTGAGGATGCTAACACACGAATTAAGAAGCAGAATTGATCAGATGTTTTTTTTTTCTCACTTTCAAAGTCCTTTCCATGTTCCCATGAAAGGCACCCAGAGAAAGAATAAAAATAATTCAGAGCCAGAGATGGCTCAGCAAGGTAAGCACTTGCTGCCAAGCTTAAGACCCAAGTTTGATCCCCAGAACCCACGTAGAGGAAGGAGAAAACTAATTCATGTGGGTTGTCCTGATTCCCAAACATAAGTCCTCCCCACTCACAGACTAATAAATAAATCAATTTAAAAAAATAAAAAAGAATACCAATAATAAAAACAGATAAAGAAAACCTAGTTGTGCAAATAACATAAGTTTTCTGTAATGTTCTACCACGCCCCCAGAAGAAACAAGAACAGAGGTAGCATATGTATGTGAACAATGGCTGGATCACCTGTGTACTGTGCACAGCACCCCCGAGAACTGGGGGTGGCATTGGTAACTGCCTTCAGGCACAGCACCTTATTCTTCATTGTATATTGTATTACAATGAAGAGTTATTTACTGCAGGAGATCTTGTTTAATTAAAAGTAATTGGATAAAATAAGACAATGACATTAACAGTCATTGGATATCATTAATAATCCAATGAATGACGTTGCAGCAGCCAGCACTTGTATGTGTGGAGTAGATTCCTGAACACTTGGAGGTAGGTAAAAAACAAACAGTCCCTACATCAGCAACAAAGACAAAACTCAAGAACCTACAACTCTACAGTGTAGTATCTTCAAGCATAGCCACGCCCACCTGGAAATCTGTCTGTCAGAGATATCCATTTACGGAAAAAATTTGTGACACACTGCTTACCTATTGAGTATGGAAACTGCATCATTAGTTAATGTAATATCAAATTAGAAAACGCATACAAAATTAGGATGTAGTTATATAGAGTACGGCACATTTACACTAGACAGTACTACAAAACTGAGAATCTCCATTTTCAAGAACTCTAACATGGAGAAATGCATTCACTGCAGTGAACTTCAAAACAGGGTTGAATGAGAACCCAGACACTTCAGATTTCCTCCACACCCTGTGGGACTTGTGTCACACCAGAAAGTCTCTCCTTCGAGTTTCAAACTGTTTAACACATGTTTTCTCTTAATGTTTGACTTTACTTTTTTACATCTAAATGTTTGATCCATCTGCATTTATTTCAAAATAACAAGGGGAAGGAATGAGCAGGCCTAATTTTCCATCTGAATAACCATGAAGAAGAATAATCTATTATTTTCTCCAAGGATTAGAGATACTGTATCTTTAGCATAATTAAATATTAAAATGATGTAATTTTTGTCTCCAATTCTAGGCTGAGATGGGAAAGGCAAAATTACCCAAGTGACCTGCTATTCAACCCAAGGGAAAATGGGTCCAGGGTTCTCAGACACAACAGCGCTTCTCACAAAAAACAGCACGGTCTAACAAAAGACAAGTTTGACCTATACTTGTGTCCAAAGAAACAAAATATACTTCTATTTATAGTATTTTCTATGTTTTAGTTGGCTGGACCCAAAAGGCCAATACACCAAGTGAAATCACTGATTGTACTTTTGTCTACATTAAGGAAAAGACAAGCAAGTACGTAAACTGCTCTCTCAAACATGTCTCAGGATTTTAGATAATTCAAAGTGCAAGTTAATGTATTCTCTACCCCCCCCCCACGCCACCCCAACCACACAAATACCAGCAGCTCGCACTGGGCTCAGTGGTTTACTTTTAGTTGTGTTTACCACATCAGCTGACTATTAGATCTTACTAACGAGCCTTGGGATTTTATAAACCATAAAAAAGTGAGCACACAAAACCAGAAACCTTTGCTGGTGTTCCTCTTTCATCTACTGCTC